ACTGCCTCCTGAGAAAATTGATAAGAGAGAATATGGAAATTAGATGTAAAGCTAATAATGAGGGAACTAAATCATATTATACAAGTAAACAGAAACAAATATATCAGAAGCAATAATCACTCTGATTTCCTCTTGCTGTTATGTTCGGTTAAGGAGCCAAATTTATGGTGTCTGTATGGTCCATGTAAAAAAGTTACCATTTTTGGGAGATTTGATTTGGAAAAAGAGTTGTTCTTCTGAACCAAGTAAAAGACTACACTTAAGAACTATTGATCACATTTTGGAGAAATAGATGCAATTAAATCTTTTGTTGCTATATATAATGAAAAGGCAGATAAATAATATTAAGTGATTGGCAATGTCACTTGAAGAGAACATCAGTGGCTTTAACTTAAGCTAAATGTGACTAATAGACTAAATTATGCTTTTAGAGATAATGGCAATCCTCTTGTTAGGAGAATTTTACTGCAATTATAAATTAAATACCCCAAAACAAAGATTTTTAGAAATTTTGACTCTTTTTTTAATCCCAGGATTAAGTACAAAATTCTGCAATTTTCTAATGCTCAAAAGTTAAACAGCCACTTGGACAATTTTTCTGCTCTATCTACTGGCCATATCAGGTCAAAAACCTCAGGTCTTTTTTTGACAAAGGTTTTGTATATACTAGCGCTTGCATGTACTTTTTGATATACTCTCATCTATGTGTCTGATCTAAAGATTATTACAGTTATTAACTCTTGGTAGGAAATTCTAGTGCAAATAACTTTGTGTGTGTTATTTTGGATACAGGAACAAAAATATACAAAATCTGGGTAAATATTTTCTTTCTACATTTGACTGAGAGTTAAGTAGGTGAGTTTTTCCACTTTTGAAGAAAAGTAAGCTTCATGTCAAATGTAGAATATTTTATCTCTGAGTGTTATAAGCATGAATATTGTCTAGATGATTGAGCTATAAGGATAATGTTAATTAGTGCACATCTACATTTTTAATGACAACTTTCTTTACCTGCAAAGTCCCTAGTTACTCAGTGTGCTAATTTCAGCTGGGATAGAGTTAATTTTCTTCACAGTAACTAGTATGGGGCTGTGTTTTGGATTTGTGATGGGAACTGTGTTGATAACATAGAGATGTTTTAACTGTTGCTGAGCAGTACTTGGAGTCCGAGTTTTTCTGCTTCTCACACCACCTTATCATAGAGTAGGCTGGAGAGGCACAAGAAGCTGGGAAGAGGCACAGCCGGAATATCTGACCTCAAATGACCAAAGGAATGTTCCACGCCACGTGGCATCATGTTCGGTATAAAAAGCTGAGGGAAGAAGAAGGGGGAGTGATGGCATTTGTCTTTCCAAGTCACTGTTACGAGTGACAGAGCCCTGCTTTCCTGGGAATGGCTGAACACCTGCCTGCCCATGCGAGGTGGTGAATGGATTCCTTGTTTCACTTTGCTTGTGTGTGTAGCTTTTTCTTTACCTATTAAACTGTCTTTATCTCAATCCACAACTTTTCTCACACTTTACTCTTCCAACTCTGTCCCCCATCCCATCAGGGTGAAGTGAGCAAGCGGCTGCGTGGGGCTTGGTTGGCAGCTGGGTTTGAACCATGACACTCAGGGAAGTTATTCAGACTACAGAAAAGTAGTTGCTTTGTCCCTTCATGCAGGAATACAAGGGAGGGAGAAGTGCTTTGCATCAGAGAGCTCCCTCACTGCCTGGTGCTTCTTTCACGACTGAAGATGCAGTAAGAATATAATGAGCACCAAATGTGGAATAAAAGAGTTAATCCATTTTCCACTGTCTCTTCTGATGAAAATATATAGATACATGTACTCTAGTATATCGTATTTTTACACTGATTTTGAAATTACTTTTTTTCACTTATATTATCGTGTTTGTTCTCAACTGTTAAAATGGGAATAAAAACCTTTAAGAATCCTCCTATGCAATTTTTGTACATATTAAATAAGAGGGAAAGACAAACTTATTTTCAACAATATCTTGATAATCACTTTTAAAAGCATTTGGCTTCTGTATTTTAAACTCTTTCCTTTTAGTTACTTTTATGATAGCCATCATCTGTGCATCCAGCAAAATATATGCTATAGAAGCCTTAATGTAGACATATGGCAAAGCAAATAAATACTATCTTTACCCCTGCCTGATAAATAAGACCATAATATTGTTATTTATTGTCAAAGAAGAAGCATTCCTCCTGCATGGGTTTTCTTTTTCGGTTGTGGGCCACTTGTAGGTTTCATGGACATCTTGCCATTCCGAGGACATTGACAATGACTTTCATCAAGGAAAATGAAATGAAGAACTGATATTTCTCACACTAAAAAAATTAAATAATCTTTCTAAGGCTATTTTAATATATCTTATGAAGGAACAGTTGATAGTATAAATGTATGTTTCATTTGTGGTTTATAACTCTATACCATCTTTTGCTGAGCTGAAGGGTAATTAAGCTGGGATCAAGTAAAACTTTTACTAAAGGTCAGACTATCTAGGCTGGCATGCTGGTCAATGGTGTTTACTTTGCAAAATTATGGGGCCAAGTGAGGAAATGTAATGATGAGGAAATGTACATCATGCATGTGCCTTTTTGATATGTGCACATTAAAAAGGCATTGTTGTTTTCAAAAGGTCATCTCTGTTCCTCTGAAGCATTTACCTTACTAGATAAAATGTGATTTAGTATTAAGTTTGCCATGTCTTAATGTTGGGAGTGTAAGTAACCTATTTGGGTTATTTTGGCATGTAATTTTCTTCTAAAAATCTTGTTTGGATTCTCCTTTTGTTTCTTTGTAGTAATTCTACTGTTACATACATAAAGTGTTTGGTCTAAATTATATCTCATACTCCTCAGATGAGCAATGTGTGTTTTAAATAAAGACCCTCACGCAAGAAGAATGGAATGTGATTCAATTTACCTTTAAAAATATAATTTGTTGTTTTTTCTGGCATAAATCTCAGTTTGCTCCAGGATAGAGTTGTGGATTATTCAAAGTACATCTTATCTTGGAGAAAAACCTAAATTCACACCAGGAAAATCAATTCTGTATAAGGACAATAACAGCCAAATACAGTATTAATTACCTTTTTATTGTGACAGTTCTCTTCAGGGAAAAAAAAACCAAAACAAAACCAAAACAAAACCCTCACACACTTAAGATTCAGAGATTTAAATATTTTTAATTTTCTTGTAGATCAAAACCATGACTAGACTCAGCTATTGAAGTCTCATTTGGTGCTGGCTGCTTATGCACTGTCACTGTCTAGACACGCCTCTTGAGAGGAGCTGGGAGTCACTTCCCTGAGCAGAGCACAGGTGGGGGTGCTGCTGCTGCTTGGAGACCCAGTCTTGCTTCCTTCCTAGATGTTCTGTGGTCTCTCAGCCTAATTGTACTTGAAGCAATGAAACTGATGTGTTCCATGTGACATGTGCAGGGAACTAATTGAATTTTTTTCAATTGAATTGAATTTCTGTAAGTATCAAACAGATATGCAGGGATTTATTTTCTTCCTTTCTTTCTTTTTAACATTTAATAACTTGTAATCATCGTCATTTTTCTTGGCTTTGAGCATCTAATGTTAAAATTCCACTGCGGCTATTTGGCTAACAGCTAAGAAGTCTAAAATTAATGTATGACCTTGACATTCTGAGACCTACTGCAAATGCAGATGAAAGGGTTGGAAGAATATATTCCCAGCCTTTTTCCTTTTTTCTTTTTTTTTTTTTTCAATAATACATACAGGGTTTCTATTCACTGAGAGTCAGAAAGAGATGACAACTTTCTTTTCCAGGTTTCTACAATAACATTAAGTAAGTAAAGGTAGCAACAGTAGTAAGTGTAACAGTATTAAGAAGAGGACAAAAGACATTGTTTTTAAAAATTAATTGTTGAAATTGAATTGACTGTTGAAATCAGCCTCTCCATTGCTAGTATTATGTTTTTTGGCAAACACTGTAACTGCTTGCAAACTGTTTAATCACAGTCAGAAATACAGCTCAAATAGTACTCAAACTAGTTTGGAAAACTGAAAAGGAATTAGATGTGGGTGTATTTGTTGGGGGCAGGCAGTAGAGAATGACAGAGACTGAGAGAAAAAGGATATTTGGGTAGAGTTCTCCCAAATTTTCCCAAGCAGGAAGAGGAGTTCAGGAGGGAAAGGAATGAGACAGGTATGGAAAAGGACAACCTGGGACATACCTTTTAAAGGTCAAATGCACGCAAGGAATGAAACGTGTGTGTGTGTGTGTGTGTGTGTGTGTGTGTGTGTGTAATATCTGTCCTTCATGAAAACAAAAGCAACAAATGTCCCTGCCTCTCATGCTGTCTCATAGGTTGTCTACATACTTTCCCAAGGAAACCGGGGGCAGAATTTTTGCATACCTTTTCTCTTACTAGTAACAAGACCTAATAGATCCCTTTGCCACTGCAGTTATCCAAAGTTCTCTCCCTTCTCCTTGTCTGACCTGAGAGGGTTCAATGGTTCCTTCTCTTTTCAGGTTCAATGGTTCCTTCTCTTTTCAGGCAGAGAGGCATGTAGAGAAGAAAGGGAGGACGGAAAGGGAGGACTGAACGTTTCCACTGACCCTTGGGTGTTCTCTGGGAGCAGAGATTGTAGGATCTGGGGTCTCTGGTACACTGAAATTGCCTGACTGTTCCTCTCTGTTTCCACGGTAATGATATCTATGACATAGGTTTATGATGTAAACAACTACCAAGCTTCACTGTGGTAGCTACTAAGAGCTGACAGGATCACAGACTGTAAGTACCTGGCCCCAGATAAGGGAGGATGAGGATCCACCAAAGTGAGTGTAGCCCTTTACACCTCTCAGTTCTATATTGTCTTCTCCCTGCATTCATCCCCACAAGGTGTTTTCATTAATGAGAATCTCCTGATGAGAAGATTGGAGCATTTAACACCTAACCAAAGAAGTGCTGATTTCTTTCAGACTAGGTGCTCTGCAGTAGTACATAAGGGCTTCGATTGCCTTAAAATTGGCATGACTCCTCAAGGTGTTGGAGAGAAGAGTGAGTTACTGGAAACTCCCCCCTTTCATTTCATTGTTGGAGCTTTGCCTATCTTAACTGTCTGGAAAGGCTCAAGGTCCCACGATGTAAATGAAATCTGTGTTAACAAAATAATTTGCCATGACGCTCTCAAGATAAAGAGATTTTTGACCTTAACAGTTTAAAAGATAGTGAATCCTTTTGAGGAAAATTACAGCTTGTTGTTAATGTTAAGGACCAAGCACTTGATTTCCATGTGTCTTCACTTTTGTACCTGAAAGGAGCTCTACTGAATTAATAATATACTAATGAGCTCTGTTTCATTAATATCACAAGTTAAAGAAAAAAAATAAATCGAGGGACTCTATCTAATCTCCCTGAAACCTGTCTAATCTAGGACAATCTGTCCTTGGTCTCCAAGTCTAGACAGAACTTTAGATAGTGATATTATGTGCTATTAGTGCTTAAAATCTTTGCAGTACTGATCCCTAAACCCCTGATGAAAGGACTTTTCCAAGACATCATCTTTGTACATTGTCACACCGTCAGTGTTCCTCACCCTGTCATTGGCAGTGTGAGATCATGTGATTCTCACTCACCTTATGAGTTTTTCTGCTGATAGTCAGTCTTTCCTTTCTCTGGGAAAACAAGGAGAGATAGATACATAATCTTTCTTTTGATACGTCACAGGGCAGAAATGTTCCAATCAAACTTCAGGTCTCCCCCAGGCCCAACAGCTCATGAAGCTAACACAGTTAAAGCAGATATATACCTTTGCCTTTGCTTCTGCATCTACCCACTTGGTAGTTTTTTAACAGTTCATTATACAGACCTTTCCAAGTCCTTTGGAGATGGTCCAAAGAAAGTCTGGGAAGACTCTTACTCCGATCTGCTTGTGCTGCATACAACACATAGTCATTCCTGCGTTTCCTGAACTTGATTGATTTCAAGCCAAAGGGATGTAACTACTTGCCTCCAGCTAACTGATTTTTCTGAAAGTCAAGTTTGCTTTCATTATGTTAACACTTCCCTTGATGACAACATTAATTTCTAAATCAAAATAAGCAAGACCTGAGATCTTCTCTTTCTTTCTCTCCAGCTTGTCAAGTTAACTGCTGGTAAAGTGATGACATACTGGTAACAGTGAAAATAGCAATGGGTAAAGAGTCAAAGGGGGAACCTGACAATGTGGTATGGTTTGATTTTCATTTTAAGAAGGGTAGATATAGGAGAAGACAACACAGAATTCATATGCCTGATAAATAGTAGTTTTTAGAAGACATTTGTATTAATAATAAACCCTTTGCTCCAACAGGAACATGTACGCTTCATAGGCAACTGTGTGGTAGACTAGAGAGTTTGCTACATACAATGCTAGCATACCGACCTACTGAAGCTAGGAACATTAAGTGAGGCAATGAAAGATCTCCTCCAACAGCTCCATTCTGCCAGGGCAGTCTATTACGTAGCTTGAAAAAAAGGCCTACCTTAAACACCTACTTTTATCCATGTTTTCTGCTTTGGTGTGTCTTCTGTTTTAGCAGACCAGCTGTGGCTGAGGCAGTTTCCTCTTAGAAGTGATATGGTTGCTCTGACTAGATTTTTTTTTGCCAGTAAAGAGGAGATGAGATCAGCTACCAACTATGACTAAGTCTTGTAGCTGTCAAGAGATAAAAATAAAGTAATGTGTACATACCTGAAGTAAAAATAAGGTACCAGTGCATGTGACAAAGGTGAGTTGGTTCCACTGGCTGCTTTTCTCCAGGGTTATCCTATGTTATAAGTTGATGCAGATGGTTATTGGGCAGATTGGGGTCATTCAGCAACACCTAGCAGCAATATCTAGCAACATCTAGCATCTGTTCACCTAGCAATGCCAGAATAAGGGGGTAGTTGCCTCTAAAAGCCACTTATATACTAATCCTTTCAACTGTTTTCTTCTTGTACATCTGGGGATGAGGCAGGATCAGACTCTAGCCATGACATCACATAATCCTCCTTCTGTAGTGACACCCTTGCATAATATAGAAGAATATTTGCAGTGTAAGGGTCATGTGTCACGGCAGCACAGGGAGTCACAAGTGGCATGACTGTCAAGGAGTTTTTAAACCAGCGTGACTGGCATGGAGCCTTACACATATCTGTCATATGGCCTTGTAAGACATTTGGAAAACCCTAAGCAAGGCTGTTCCCAGATGTAAGGTCACCATCACACAACAATAGTGTCCCTGTGAGGTGCTCCAGGAGGCAGTCATCACATTTGACCATTAGATTATCAAAGTGGATGTTGTAACAACATAGTGTTGAGTTTGAAAGGAAATTGTTTTCATATCTGAGCCAAGAAAAATTTTCCAGTAACAGCAGGAAGATTCAACTTGGATGTCTACAAAGTATTGCGAGTTAATAATGCTAGGCAGAGGGCCAGTGGAAATAGATGGTATTTGTTTTTAAAAAATATATTCATCCTTTTCCCCTTACACTTTGCCTACTGTTTGTCTTTCTGGACTGCAAGTGCTTCAGAGCAAAGCTGTGTGCCTGAGATAAGTCATATTACTTACTTAATCAATGCCCGCTAATGATAAATAAGAATCATATAAAACATTAATACCTTTTTACCCATGTCTGCATCTGGTTCTCAGTGAGGTACTGTACTTGTTGTTGCTACATCTGACCATATGTTCTGAGTGTAATCCCTTTAATATCGTCACAGCAGCAATACACCTGGGACATGAAAGCTGTTAGCAAATAGTTGATGTCAGGGCTGGAGGCAAGAGACAGAGAAACCAAGAAAGTCAAGAGATATGTGAAACTAAAGGGTTTGTTGTAAAAATGGTAAAGAATGGTGAAGAAATAAGAAATCCACATAGACAAAGGTGAACCCTGGGCTGAGGAACATGCAGAGACAGAGCAAAACTTTTCGAGCTTCGTAATAGTGAGATTCTACAACACACAACAAGCAGTAGACATAGTGATGAGATTCCCCTGTTGCCAGCTGGTCTAAGAAGCCAACTCTTAATCTTGGTTTTGTCCAAATGACTGGCTGCTGTTGAGTCATCTTGATGGATACAGCAGCATCTGTTGCACTCTGGTAAGACCAGGGGCCTATACGACATTCTTCCCAGAAAACAGTAATGAGATATGCACCTCTTACATGTTCCTACATAACGATGATGCAGCAGGACACTGATATATTTAAGAAGCCATTGGAAACAAGCAGTGTTTCACAAGCCTTTGCATCTCACTGTAATAATAAAAAGTGATCTGTCATTGTCATTTTACTGCATTTTTCCTACTGAATCTTAAAGGAATGTTACACCAGAGCATCCAGGTTTTATCAGCTTTGAATAAGTTGCTGTAGTTACTTCCCTAGAAATGGCAAATATATACAAAATCACTTTTTAAAAAAAATCAGTATTGTCATAAAGATTCAAGCAGGAATGATTGTACAAACTTCCAGTGCCCATATCATTCATAAGACCAGGCTACCACAATGAATCTGAAAATCTGTGAAGCAATTTTTTTCCTCCTTAGTATTCTTCACTTTCCAGTTTTAAGCCCATTCAGTTTCATTAGTATTCCTTCACTGTGCTGTCAGTCTGCATTATGGTAGAAGTTTGGAAGACCTTCAATAAAAGAATACTTGACTGTGCTACAACCCTCACCCATTGTAGCTCCATTCAGTGCCCAGCAGAATGAATTTCTAAATGCCTGCATGTTGCAGGTAACTAACTTTCAATGAATCTTAGGATACAAGTCTAAACAGATGACTACTTTCTGATCTGCTATAGAAACAATATGTCTCAATTGAGGTTTAAAAAAATTTTCACTCCTTGTACAAAAATGCATGGTGATTAACAGCTGACAAACCAACTCTAATAATTTCTGATGAAATGCTTTTGTTCAGTGTTTTCAGTCACTCTCTACAGGGAATTAATTACCGGAAGTGAAAAAAAAGAAAGTTCATGCCAGTTAATATCCTTGAGAAAGTGAAAGGTAATCAACTATATAAATGACAGTGGCATATGCCGACCAGCTTGTGGTCAAAATTTGTACAACATACCCCAGCCAGTTTTTGAGATGGTTATACTGAAACATGTGTGTGTTGAAGATCTGTTGCAAGTAGCTGCTCCATAGTTTTAGGTAATCAGTGAGTAGCTGTATTCAGAAGAAGATGCCATTGTAACCTTTTTTCACTTTATTATTTTTTTTAATGACATTTACCTATTTACAGTGGTCAGAAGCCTCAAAGCATAGGATTACATGATTCTTTTATATGGCAAATTGTTCTTTAAATAATCAAATCACCTTCTAAGGGCCAATCTACATAGAAATATACATGAGAACCATCCATCAGGCTGCAGTAGGCACTGATCTAACCCCATTTAGCCCTGTTGAGACTGTTACAGATAAATTGGTATAACAGGTACTTCAACAAATGTTCCCACACAGACTTTGTATAAAACTAGTGAAAAAGGAGAAAATTAATGCCTTTTTATTGTCCATTGGTCTCAAAGAGGTGTTAGTTGGAAAAATTTACCTGGGAAACTTTATTTGCAATAAGTTTGATTAATACCTTAGCTGAAGTCTGTGAATCGGCTCCTCTGAGTTGATTGCATTAACCTGTGTCAGTTAACAGCTTTGTAAATGTTAATCTAGATACTTTATTTCAATATACTTTCATTTCAACAAAAATGTTTGTGTTCTTCTCTAGGTCTAAGCTATTGGCTATCAATTAACTTGAATTTTCACAGCCAGGAATGCAGTACTGTGCAAAGTACAGTGATCTTTCCCTGAAGAAAATCAGTCTGAGTCATTTGATGCCTTATCACAATGTTTGAAGTGTCTTCCATCTCAGTTTGTTTCCAGTGCCACGTAAACTTTGTACTGGCCATCTGCAAGAGCTGGGAGAACTTCATGTGCACCTCTGATAATCTTGTGTTTGTACGGGGATTCTTTATGATTTTCTAATATTGCCTTGATAATCATCATTTATGATGCTCAGTTGTCAGTAGGCTTCAGCCAAACTAATCTATTAATTGGAGAAGACTTACTATAGGAGTTTGAAATATTAATATATTATATAGTCATATATATGAACGTGTGCTACTCAAAATTTCCATTAAAGAAATTCAAAGTTTTCCAGAAGAACAGAAAAATTGGTCAGAAAGAGCGAATAATTTCAGGTCTCTTAATAACTTGGCTAAATGTTAAGTGATGTTAACAATATTACTTTACTCTGTAAATGAGAAAGCTTTACGGTGGCAGTAAGATGTAGACAAAGGGTTCATATCATATATATATATATATATATATATATTCATAATCAGTCAATGAAGTTTCTAAAGGACTCTGAAAACTGAGTGAAAAGGACCATTGGCACCAGTGCAGTTTTTGCCATATGAACCTTAGCTTTTAAAATAATATTAAATAATAAGAATGTAACTTAGTGTGTATTATCTGTTCTGCAACTGTGGCTCACACATGTTCCCCCATCACCTATATGGGTGGGAGTTTGTTGCAGACAATAAAAGGAGTTGAATCATGCCCTTAGTTGATGACATGGAAAGTCTGTTCAACAGAGGAAAAGAGAGGCATCAATTATTAACAACATTGTTATGAACCCTTTTTCACACTAACAGGCAATTACATGAGAAAAAAAGACACTTGGTAAGTAACTCTTTGTGGTATTATCAAAAATTCCACCTAGGACTCAGGTTTTGATATAATTCTTATGCTCTACTTTTCTTTCAAGCTACCTTGTCCTTGCTTTCCAAATAACTCATTTGTTATCTTACATAGAGGTGCAGCTATGACTTCTGAAAGGCAGAACGGGGATTTTTGGACAAGAACTGCAGAACTGGATCCTATGCCATCAAGAACATATTGGCTAGGAGTTGTCAGGGAAATTATGATCCTCAGCTGTTAGAGCTACTTGAGTGGATCACCTCAACAACCACTAGACTGGGGAATGGTGTATCTTTAAAATGCATTCAAAATTCACCGTTTACATAGCGACTGAGCAAGATTTCCAAGATCAGTTGCTGAAGTTTTCATTTAAGTATGTCAGAATTCTACATATTAAACTATGAGTATTGGCAAAAGTATCCTAGAGATGACAGTGGAGCTCATGCCTGCTGAAGAGACTCAAAATGACAGAGAAATAGGGAAATTATAGGTCTTGAGCTAAAACATTAAAAGCAATTATGATATCTCAGCTCATTTACATTACTTTTTCTCACTGCAACTTATCTTTTCTTCATGTATATAAGTAATGTGTTTTGATTGATTAACAATTCTGAAATGTTTAATGTATTTTCCCATTTGCAAATGTACCTGTGAAGCTGGTTAAAAAGCAGGGTATACTGTTGAAATGTGTAAAAATAGTCATGAATTAAGTTCTAACCTGTATAGGATTCTAACTGACCTGAGTTCTTTCACTTCATCAGTAGTTGAGGCACTGCATATCTTTCAAGCAACTGCTCAGCACCTCATTTAAAGAAACACCTTTTAAAATAATTTGCACATAAGGTTAAAAACAGCAGGATTTGTCAATATTCCTCAGAAATTCTTTGTTGCAGATTCTTTCTTTTCAAATAGAAACTGGGGGGTGTATTTTTGATGGTACTGCCTAGAGCAAATTTTGTTATTACACACATCCTTTCTTCAGCAGTAACATCTCTCTTCCAACATGCCCCAGACCCACGTGGTTGTGCATATTCCCTCAGTTACGCAGGGTTTCTATGAGACAGATGAATTTATTGATCTGAATATCAGTGTACCAGCAAAAGGAAGGGATAGTGTGCACAACAATTTAGCTTATGCTGGCTTTGAGAAAAGGTCACTAGCCTCATAGTCTCACCATCATGAGAAAGTCTGTCACCACTTCTATTGATTAGATCAAATCTGCATTAAAAAGTGTTTTGCCACTAGCAAAAGCAGTATCATCAATAAATTTTATATTGGTTCAAGAAGCAGATGAATGTTGTGGACTGAAATATCTTTTTGTAACTTGAGAGTATTAGGCTGATGAAATTCAAAGTAATTTTAAATTAGCTGTAATTTTTAGATGATTTATGAAAAATGCCTCTTTCTAAAAATGCTGATTTGCCATATTCCACAGTCTGTTTACTCTGGTGTTCAGCTAGCCTTACAGATATAAAACTCTTTCTTACCACAGCTTAATCTGCCTTCCTGTGGATTAAGTTTGTTATCTATTTACATCTACCTGGACAGTAGACAATTTCCTTCTAAGCAGAGATTTGTTACACTTTTCTATGTTGATGTAAATCTTTATATTTTAAGGTTTTTGCTAATACTTACACATTAAAAAAAAACCCTAAAAATAACCCTGTCTCATCCTGACCCCAAAAAATGAAAAGAAAAAAAAAAGAAAAAAGAAAAAAGAAAAAAGAAAAAAGAAAAAAGAAAAAAGAAAAAAGAAAAAAGAA